TAAAATTATAGTTTAATTATGTTTTCGTTTGGGCGTGCAAATATTTAATCTTCGGCATTCTTCTTCTGTGCGGACGCGAAAATGCACTCACCCGAGATACAAGAATTTTTCATTTCAAAAGAGAGAGGGAAAAAAACAAACAAATGGAAGGTCGCATGTACTTATTAATAATAATCCGGACGTGTTTTAGTGCCGCTGTAAATATGCATTAGGGCGCTGCGTTTCGCTGTTTGCTTTTCGCGAAGAAGTAATGGAGCGCGCGTCGCAATAAAGCGGCCAATAAAGAAAGAAAAAAAATGAGGAGAAAATTCGGTGGAAAACCCCTTTTACGACGTGTTACGACAGCCGCGACTGAAATCGATTTCCTCGAGAGAGAAAAACAAGAGAGAAAATGGAAGAAAAGAAACAATAAGAATTGAATTCATGCGTTATCGCTGGGAAGAAAGTGGCGGAGGCGCCGGGCGAATTGCATAATTCCGCGCGTTATCGTCGGTTTTGTGCTCGGAATTATCTTTTAACAGTAGACTGAACGTGTTTGCAATGACCATTAGCCTGCAACTAAGTTTCATTTAGATTAAGGGACGAAGGCAGGCAGCGCCGCATCCAGGGCACACTTAGCGTGATGAAAGGCTTCCGTCGCCCAAAGCGAAGAGGGAGGTTTAATGGCAAACAAGAGATGAAAATAAGTAAACACATAGAGAAGAACTTCTTTGGACCTTTCATACAAACAAAAAAAAAGGATAGAATTATATGAGATGAAGGACGAAAGAGATGGAAAAGTTTCCGAAAATTAGATTGGAATCTGCGGAATTTTTCCTCTTTTGTGCCGATTTTCATCGCGCTTCGTCCGCGTAATTAATAGGACGACATTAATTGTACTTTGTTAACTTTGGCGCTCCCTTTTCCTCTTGACTCGACGACGGCGGCGGTGAAATGCAAAGAGAGGATGAAAAAAATACACACACAAGGGCGACAAGACGACGATGATGATGATGATGATGAAAAAAAAAAAAGATTGAAGAGAGAGAGAGAGCGCGACAAAGGATAAAAAAAAAGAAAGAGAGAGAGAGAAAGAAGGAGGAACCGAGTGTAAACGAGTTGAAAGGAAAGCACCACTCTAGACTAAAAGGTGGCCAATTTTCAACTTTCCAAAGTGCTTTTTTAAATAAAACACTTCTCGTTCCCTCTGTTGCGCGCCCCTCGCATCACCACCGACTCACCAACCCCCCAACCCCCCGCGTGCTTCAACCAGCACCTTCATTTATCCGCCGGGTCCAAAGTAATTCCATTTTAATCCGGAAAATTATACGGCACAAACGGATAAGATGAAAGCATTGTGTCGCAATTTTAACTGAATATAACACGCGCCGGCTGCGCCTCCATTTGCAAACTTTAATCTGATTTCCTTTTTCCCGATCGAAATTAAATGCAACTTCCGCTTATTTCATTTTACTTTTATATACGTACTTACTATCAAAATATTAGGAAATAGAGCAAAACTAGTAGAGAATATCTTCGACATGCAATAGAATGCAATGTCCTTTCCCAAGTCCTTCGGAAAAGGAAACAGTGCAAATAAGAATTGTAAATGTTTCAATTCGCAAAAAGATTTTTCCATTCGGCGCATCGTTTTACAGCTTAGTTATGTTTATTGGATTTCGGTGAAAATTAAAATAAAGCCGGGCTTTAGCGAAGGCAAATATGTGCATATATGAATGAATGCATGCATCCGGCGGAGCGGGAAATTCGAATATTAGGGACGGTTATCGGCTGCCGCTGCTGATGCTGGTGCTCTTGGTGGTGGTTTATACACCCTCGGACGTATAAATCAATATTGACGGTGACGGTCCGCAAAGCAAATCTACATTCTGCGGGGTAGCCTAAAGGGGGAAGTAGCAGGAGGAAATCAGGCAACCCTAATGTTGGTGAAGTACGGCGGGAAATGTAAGAAAGAAGAAGAAAAAAAAAAGAGATGAGTCTGAGAAAAACCTCACCTTCGCATCTGTAATTGCCAAATAAGACGACTCATTTTATTATTCAAATGTATACGTGCCGGGGCGCAATCAGAGAACGAAGGAAGGAAGCTCTCTTTTTCCTCTTCGCGATGGGTTTGAGGAGACTCGAGGGGGTTTGGGTTTCTCACCGCAGGAAAGAGCTTTTATCGGAGCCCACGATTTATGCGATGCCATTTTAATGATCGTCACTCTTTCTCTCTCTCTGTTTCCAACCAACTTTCAACCTCTTTATTTCAAGTACGTGCGCCTCTGTATCTTTATATAATCATGTGCTTGCTTCAAATTACGAAATATATGCAAACAAAAATATTCCTACATAATAATTAAATTACGACTGTAATTTCAACTAAAATTTTACAAAACTAATAAAAGTGTTGGATTACGTGCGCTCTTGTTTTTGACAACTTGCATAAATTAATTTGTAATTCCAAACAGTGCTTTCATTGTAAATGAAATAAGTTCATGTTTATAAATTGATATAATTATAATTGAATCAATCAACTGAATGTCGTGCGAAAATAACCATAACACAATTACATTACTCTCTATATATAAATGTGTAAGTTGTATGCGTGTGCCTAATCTGCGCTAGAGGAGGGTTGGAAATTTCGGGTAATTGATCCAGCTTTTAACGTGTGCCAAATTAACCGGAACTTCGTTACACCAGCGAGGATTGCAACAACAGCAGCAGGCAGCATCATCATCAACAACAGGAATCGATATTTGCGGCGAATGCGGAAAATAACTTTAGAGTATTTTGAAAGTGGCTTAAGTCCATTTTCATCTTTTATCAAGTTGGCACTTGTGACATTTATAATTTATGCTGAACTGTCAAAAAAATAAATCGGTATTGAAATATACTTAGTACATTTGAAAATTTTATATCACGTACATTTTCAAAATAATATAAATACTGAAAACCCTAATTTTGAAAGTGACCTAAGTCCACTTTTTATTGACGATGTCAAAAAGTGCGGCCCAAAATGTTGAAGGCACTGATGAAGGTAATTTAAATTACGTTTTGATATTAAATTGAAATTTAAAAAATAATATTTAATTTAAAGAAATTATTAATAAACCCATGGGAAAAGATAAAATAACAAGATTTCTTGG